TCGTCGTCGCACTACCTTGACTTCATGACAAACCGGTGGATTCCGCGATTTGGAGTTCCCAGTGTCATTATTACGGACCAAGCCAAGGGATTCGTGAACAAGAAAACCAACCAATTCCATCACAGACTGGGAATTGCTCATCAGAACTCCCCACCGTACTGGCCACAATCAAACGGACTGATTGAGCGAATGGTAGGAACATTGAAACAGGTGCTACGCAAAATGCTGAACAACAAGGACAAATGGCAAAAGGAACTACCCCAAGCAACGCTCGCAATCAACGCCACGAAGCATCGTCACAGTGACCACAGCCCATTTTGACTCATGCATGGCTACGACCCAAAACTGCCAGGAGAGCTCAACCTCGCCTCAGTCGAGGGAGACATCGACGAGTCTCATAGACTGAACGACTTGGCAAGGGGACGTGCAGAGACAAGAGAGAGGCTACTGCAGAGTCAGCGCAAAACAACGGTCCGATACGACAAAAGGCGGCGAACTCCGGGGTTCATAACAGGGGACCTCGTCCTGCTTGAGTTGAGCGCTCGAGGCACATTAGACCCTCGCTATGAAGGTCCGTTCGAGATAACGGCCCTCGTCGGAGGAAACAGGCCGAGATCCAAAGAGTACCCCACACACCGGGCATGATCAACCAAAAAATCGTCAACGTGGAGCAGCTTCGTAGATATAAGGAGCCGCTCCTAGAAGTTACGGAACCATCGCCATCTAACGATACGCACGCCTGAGGACAGGCGCAATTTTCTGGAGGGCCGTGTCAGCGGCACTCGAATTCGCACAGCTGAATTCTCCGGCAGCGTCTCATTCTCCGGCAGCGCCTCCTTCTCCGGCAGCGTCTCCGTGCTTGCTCGGGAAACGCTGCACTGCGTTAACGTGGACTCCGAGTCCTGAGCGCGTCCACTCGACGCGGTTGCCCATTGGTTCAACGAACATTCAAAAGAACAAAAAAGTGAGCTTTCGAGCCGGGACCGCATAGCAACACATCGCCCGAGAGGGGAGAACGAGCCGAGATTCGAGCCGGGACCGCAGAGCAACACACCGCAGAGCGAGCCGAGACGCGAGTGGCGTCGGACGTATCTGATCGAGCTCCTGCACCGAGTCCAGTTTCCTCATACATGTAACCACTGCCGATTCACCTGTAACTTAGCACAATACAGTTTTTCTTAAAATTTGAACCTTGCCTTGACTACATTCATTCGGACATCGCTGACACATCAGAGCCTCGAGAAATAAAACACCAACATACATGTGCTTGCCGGAAAAGAGAAAGAAAAAGAAAGAAAATTCAGCATTTCGATTCTGTTTTTGCAAAGGTATCATGAGTCTTCGTGAAGGCAAGGTGCACTCTATATGCGAGTAGTAGTTATTCTTTATTGCTAAAAAGTATATTTTAAAGGTGCAAAAATTAGGGGGGATGCAAATCAATATAAATACATCAATCCAGGTAGAATCAGATCCAATTCACTTCACATCCTAAGTATTAAAGTCAGGAAATACAGCAGGTCAGGTCGAATCGACATCCAAAGTAGCGTGGGCTTCGTTCCCGCCACTGAGAAGTAACACTGCCTTCTCAGTGGCGGGAACAACAGGGCTTCTGTTTCCACTTTTTACACGGATGCTGCAAGGTGGCACCACTTCTACATTTCCTAGCAGCTTTGACTGCATTGTCGGTCTGTCGCAGGCTCCTTCAAGCTTTCATCTGCAGTTAATTTTAGGTTTTTGGCTTGTGTGCTTGCTTCCTGGTTTTTCTGAACATCACACAGCCAACTTGCTCACTGCCTTGTTCAGAGGTTTTATTTGAGCCAGATATACATATTTTTTCACATTTATCGCTTGCGCCTAAAATATTCTGAGGGTATGCTGTAAATATGTTTACTTATTTTGTATGAGTGCCGTATATATTTTTTTTACATTCAAGGGGTTTTTTCAGTGTGCAGAGTTTTTCAAGCAGAGGTGACTGTCATAGAATTTGTGTTTAATCTTCATGTGAAACATTGAAAAGTCAGGGAATTGGGAAACATCAAATTAGTAGACTCCCTGAAAATGCCATTTCATGGTTCTGAGGAGCTAGTTCATTTCATGGTTCTGTTTCGTACAACAGTGCTGTCAGTTTAGTTAGTCCTAGACTTGACCAGGAGCAGTATGCTGGCCAACGTTACTAAAATAATCTTAGTTTGAAAGTTCTGCCGGAGAGGCGGGCCGCGTGGCGGTCGCGAGAATTAGTGGCGCTGCAGTACGGTCTTGCTGTAGCGACGCGGGGCGCACGTGTTGTGATCGGCGGTGGCGACGTGAAAGCGGCTACCGCGAATGGTGCGCTGTGTTCCCACGTCACTTTTCCGGCTATTTTTGGCACTGCGTAGTTTCTTGTACGAAAACGCATTTGTCATGCATGAGGCGTACCAAGAAGAAGCAGATTGAGGTACACAGAGTAGCTTTGCACCAGGCTTCGACAGCGGCGGCGACTGCAATGACGACTCCACATCACGCAATTTGTTTATTTGTTTATTCATTAATTTATTTTCTGTGAAAACACAGTTACACAGTGGCGTCGACCAACAAAAAAGCTGCTATAAGCAGCTTGAGAACCTTATATATGTAGCCTCCAATCTCTTTCGCCCAGCAATGACGGACTAGCATACGAATGATCGTAAGCAAATTTGTTGTCCAGCTTGCACGTTACCTGAGAAAATTAATATTGTAGTGCAAATACAAATTATAATAACATTAATAATATTATTATTGTTATTATTATTACATGCAGTAGCCGTTGGCAGATATGGCAGATCTGACGCCGTTCAGTATTATGTATATTATGTGACAGCAGTTACACAACAGTGACAAACACAACGATTACACAAGTTAGAGGATGCTTGAGCTTCGCCTTCCAGAGTAGACCGCAATAGCATAACCGGGCTTTGTGCGAATCACCTTCTCAATTACTATCTTACCTTTGGTCTTGGTGTTTGCCTCAACCGTGCCATGAGGGAACGAACGACTGTGAGTGCAACACTGGCCATTTCAAACTATCGTAGAATGTCTACTGCAAGTACAGTTGCGAAGTGCCCACTGCGTCATAATTGTTCTTTTTGCGAATCAGCCAAGAGTCTTTACGCGTGCGTAAAGCAACACGCGAACGTAAGCTTGAGCACCCTGTAATGGCGGGGCCTTTCTAACACCCACTCATCACGCATTTCACATGTTAGATGCCTGATGCGATTCTACGCTTCTACCACCTAATGTTGCGTGGGTTAAAGAAATTCGTTCTACTACATTAACAAAAAAAGTGCAAACATAAGGCCTCGCTTTTCTGGCTGGACATAATATTAATGAGAACCTATACTACCTAAAATTCACATTGTTTTTTTTTCCGAATCAGTTTCGATCACTGGCGTGCCTCTGTGGTGTAACACCCGATTGCCACGCAGAGAGCCTGGGATCAATTCTCACTCGTACTGAAGTTTTTTTTAAAAGTTATTTATTTTTTTGTCACGGACAAGATGATGTCTTCTCGCTCACAACTGGAGACGCTGACAGCGACGCCAACACCGGAATTTTCGTTAAACGAACTAGTTAAAGCTATCACGTTCAAGTAATATACAACACATACAAATTATCATTATAAATATAGGTAAAGAAACAGTCATTTATCCTATAATTCAATTTGAGAGCATGATCAAAGCACACATTCAACCTCCTACAAAAATAACCCGGGGGAGTGTGACCAGACAATCGAAACAATTTAAGACTGTGTTACTATAGTAGAACTTTCCTCTCTATCTTTCATCTCGCTCATCTCTTTCCCATGTGCAGGGTAGCAAACTGGCTGCTTATAGACTGGTTAACCTCCTTGGCGTTCTTTTTCTTCTGTTTTACCTCCTTCCTTAAATCAGGCGTAATAAAGTGAGTCAATCGCATGCCATCATTTAGATTTGACTGGGGTATACACCGATTATGTTCATTGTGACAGACCTCCGAAGAAATCTGGAGCGATTCAGAAGGTGGTACCAAGCTTTGCGTCACAAAGATAGAAAGCTCACTGCCAAACACAAAGTCTATGACCTTCAGTGTGAGAATGATGGCATGGTATCACACTACCGTCATGTCTTGATGGACAAAAAGTCTTGATCTCACGTGGAAAGTAGGAGCTCGCACCTGGTGCCCACCTGCTGTTTTTCCCAGTGATTCCACTCTATATATTGAAGCCAAAATGCTCATAACCAAGGTGCCAATACCCCCCCTAAAGGCACAGTGCCCCTCGAATGCTCAGTGCCCAGTCTCCACTCCATATATTGAAGCCAAAATGCTCATAACCAAGGTGCCAATCTCCCCCCTAAAGGCATGGTGCCCCTTGAATGCTCAGTGCCCAGTCTGGAGGAGCCGGCAGAAATAGGACAGCAAGTTGAAAGGCAGTAAGAGACAAACGTATGTAAGTGGTGGTGTTTTGCCAGTGGCCAGGTTTTGTTACATTTTTTTCATATTACAGCAATAGATATTTTTCTCAATCGCAGTGTCCTCATTTCTGAACCTTAGAGCAGGTAATGGTGGCTCAGGTCGGTGTCGTTTCTCGGTGCAGCAAAGTGCACTAGGAAGTAGCCTACCATGAGTAGACTGCATTTGTGGGTACCTTCGTGAAAAATTGAATAAGTGACAACGTGCATGGAGGGCCTCTAGCATCTCACACAAGTACCCTTGGAGCAGGCACGCCCAAACCAAACGAAAGTGCACTTATTTAGATGAGGTGTTTTTAAGAAGGTTGCTTAGATCATCCCTTACACATCCTTCTTTTCACATTAAAAGCAATTGAAAAAATTGTCGAGAAGCTTCTCACAAAAACACCCTGGTTGATGACCTCTTTTGGATTGTGCTTGAAAAGTTGGAGTGACTGCTACTGCATCTTTTGAGTTATAAAGCTTACCATGAGAACGTGGGGGTAATGTTTTGCATCGTTTGTGAATATTCATTTTTTTGTTCTTCTTTTTTGCAAGAAAACCAATCAGGAGCTTTCTGAAAAGGCGAAAAATGCAAGAAATGAGGTGAAGTTGCTGTTACATTTTGCACTCTACTCTTGATTGGTAGCCGTTGCGAAGACTTGTGTGATGAATAGTGTGAAGCATGGGTACTGTTTCTTGAAAAATGTCTTTTATTTTTTTAACTAGCAGAAAACAGGAGGACTGTTTTTCAATAGCATTTTTATATTTCAGTAATACCCGTGCCACACGGGCAGAGAAAATGGCATTTACCCCCGAATGCCTTCAGCTTTATTGCCATTCGCGCGGTGCCACACGGGCGAACAAAATGGCATTCGTCCGAATGCCATTCGAATGCCATTCGCCACCAACTGCCTTCGCCACAACTCAGTTGACTGAAAAATGCCTACTCTCGACAACACAGCTCGCGAAGTGCGATTTACCTGAAAGTTTATAAAACAAATCATATTGAGCTAAAAATGAAATTTCCCGTCTTTTATTTGCACTAAAGTCTTAAAAAGATGCTTTGAACGTTATACAAAGAAAATAAAGTATTGATAGTGAAACGCTTGTCAATTTTAGCGAAACTTTGGCAAACAAGCATGCAACACTGGTATTTTCATCGCCATCGCCATCGAGTTTACTTTCTCTACTTTTCTCATCAGTTTTCATTCTTTGCTTTCCAATCTTCCGCCAACCCGCACGCGCCATTTCGCTCTCCTTAAACAAAGAAGAAATAAAAGAAGAGATGACGTGTCCCAATGAGCGCGCGAGCTGGACAGAAGAGGAGACGATGACTTTGATTACGCTCTGGGAAGAGCACCTCTCAGGCCTTCGTGGTCAAAAGCGGAATGCCAAAATTTACTCCGCTATTACGGAAGCGCTGGCCAGGTACGGCATCGTGAGGACGCGAGCCCAAGTGCATACAAAAATCGAAAATCTGCGAAGCAAGTACAGGTGAGCATTTTGACTTGAATATCATGCCTGTGTACTGCCGAGGAGCTTACGCCGTGCAAACGACGACACAGAGACAAGGGCACTCCTTGTCTCTGTGTCGTCGTTTTGTTCTCGCGTTATAACTATCGTCATGCCATACCAACTAGCCCAAGCTGCCACACTTCTAACCAACCAAATGTTCGCGGAAAACGGTGCGAAAAAGCTCTACCCCTTACGACCATTTAGGTGTGATTTGGCTAGGTGTCCCACATAAAAACACTTGCTATGCCTATTTAGTTGTCAATTTAAACAAATTTGTACCCGCGTTGATTGTATTGCCTTTCCGGGGCAACATTATAGATGAGTTAATAGCTCGTCCTCATGGCCTCTCTCAGGTGCCTTTATTGGCAAGTTCAGTCGGAGATAACATTTTGAAGCAATGAAAAAAAAAAAAAACCTTGGAAGACAGGATGTTCCTGAAGCCAACACTTTAACAAACGGACCTGTCCTCAGGAATTAAAATCCTACAGAGTACAGGTCCACTTGTGTAAACATTAACTCTAGACATACCTTGTGTACCTAGGATTTTTTATCTTTTGTGGGGGTGCTGACACCCCCCCCCCCCCTGTAAAGTTGTCTGCGCCGCGTGGCGCACGTGTCTCGCCCCAGGGCGTTATTTCGGTGGTGACCACCACCGGGCGATAGATGGCGTTGTGTTCGCTTTGAGTACCACTGTTGGTAGAGTGGTAGCGCCGGTGGTGGCCCCTGGCGGAAGGCGGGCCTTGGTGGTGGGCGAGCGTTGAGCGAGCCTCTTCTGCGCGTGGCGACTGCCGCGAACGGTTGTCTGTAGCGCGGGTCCCCGGTGCTCGGCACCGCGGGCTTCGCGCCGGGGTCCCACGTGTAAAGTCAGGTGTTGGCGACGCCGCCTTGGGTATGTGCTAGTGTGTTGGGTGTGTTAGTGTGTGTTTATCATGTTATTGTGTGTTTAGTGTGTCCTGGCATTACGTTGTTTGTATGGTTTAGTGTTAATTGAAATTGGTGTATCATTCGGCGGACGATATCGTCGTCTAAATTGGTTAATAAATGTATGTATGTGGGTGCGTTGTACCGACCGTGTCCACTGTGTCCGTTCACTCCAAGAGCGTGGCGTGGCGATGCGCTCGTTCTTCCTCGCCGAGACCCCACACTGGCTGCCCAACGTGGAGCTCTTGGAGTGTCGGACGTCGGTTCGTGCGGTTCGGTACAGGGATTTTGTTAGAGCCGGAGTAGAGTAGGCCTAGGGGGGACTTCTTTGCTAGCGTCGGTGGTGTGCTTTGTTGAGAAGCGAGGGGATTGGTTTTGTAACGTGTTTCAATTTGTCGGCAGGTTGACTTTCTATTTTTTTATTTGCTCGCAAGTGTTCTTATTTTTTGTTGTTAGTTTTCAAAAACGTTGTTGCATTAGGACGAGAGCCATGCGGTCCGCATCCTGGGGTGAGCAAGGCCTAGAGCACGTGGTTTGTAGGCCAGGCCCGAAGCGAGTGAGTACGGAAGCCTCGTGGGTGGTCCGATTTTCTGTAAATAGCTTCTTCTATCTCTTTGGGCTCAGGGAGCCGGGCGTCGTTGCTGACTTGTATTGCGGCTCGACGCCGGGGCGTCGTGACACCGCCCGGGGCGGTGGACGCCGATCGCTCGGTAAGCTGCTGTGTGCGGCGAGCGATAGGGCCACCTCACAGAGTGGACGTCTCCTCGCGGCTGCCTCTTCTGCGCCTAGGCTGGGTGCTGGGTGGATGCCGGTTGTTGCCGAGCGACTCATTAGGCCTAAGGCTCTGCGCAGCCGCCTGTCGTACGTGGCACAACTAGGTGGATCGTAGCGTTGAGGGGTTGCGCTCTGCTTCCCTCACTTTTTTTTTTATCTTGCGATGCAAGGGTTAGGAAAAGTGATTTTTGTTTTATTTTGATGGGCGTCTCGGTCGCCACCGATGTATTAGCTAGCAGTACTAACCACCGTACCACGTGGCCGAAAAGCCTGAAGCTCCCTCCCCTGGGCCGCGCTCCTTTGTTTCTTTCGAGTTTTGTTTTTTGTTGATGTATTCAGCGGGAGGGATGTCATCCACGGCCGGCTGTCCTGCGCATCGTCAGCGTCGCTGGCCAGGAATGCGGTCGTGAGTTCGGGCGATGAAGATGCCTGGGACCTGCGCAACTGCCTGCAGTCCGGCGCCCTCGTGAGTGCTGGTCGCAACTGGAAGACGTGTCGGCGCTAGCGACGGATCGTCGCGCCGACGGCAACGTTGCTGTTGCGGGGCCGGTACAGAGGTGAAGTCTAGCCGGAGAGTGCAGCAGTGTCGACCGGCGGCGGTGTCGTGGCGCAAGGACATTATGGTCGTGCGATATCATTTTTTTGTTAAAGCTTGTGTAGCTAATTTCTGATTTCGGGATATGGTTTGATTTAAGGTTGGGGGAATGTGGGGGTGCTGACACCCCCCCCCCCCTGTAAAGTTGTCTGCGCCGCGTGGCGCACGTGTCTCGCCCCAGGGCGTTATTTCGGTGGTGACCACCACCGGGCGATAGATGGCGTTGTGTTCGCTTTGAGTACCACTGTTGGTAGAGTGGTAGCGCCGGTGGTGGCCCCTGGCGGAAGGCGGGCCTTGGTGGTGGGCGAGCGTTGAGCGAGCCTCTTCTGCGCGTGGCGACTGCCGCGAACGGTTGTCTGTAGCGCGGGTCCCCGGTGCTCGGCACCGCGGGCTTCGCGCCGGGGTCCCACGTGTAAAGTCAGGTGTTGGCGACGCCGCCTTGGGTATGTGCTAGTGTGTTGGGTGTGTTAGTGTGTGTTTATCATGTTATTGTGTGTTTAGTGTGTCCTGGCATTACGTTGTTTGTATGGTTTAGTGTTAATTGAAATTGTTGTATCATTCGGCGGACGATATCGTCGTCTAAATTGGTTAATAAATGTATGTATGTGGTGTGCTTGGTACCGACCGTGTTCACTGTGTCCGTCACTCCAAGAGCGTGGCGTGGCGGTGCGCGCGTTCGCCTCGCCGAGACCCCACACTTTATAGTGCGACTACCAAGAATGGACTCTGTGTAAGTTGGTGCAGTCGTCCTTCATTGGATACTGTTATCGAATTGGATTATCACACGCAGTATGCACAACAATTCAACCTATTCCACTGTTCAAAGCCTGGTGTCATAAGATGGTGTCATACACAAGCCCAGAGAATCGTTTCGACTTGCTTCTGTCACTACTACTAAGCTTGCACTTTCGTTTATTACAGATTATTCTCAAAAAACAGAACTACAGGTTCTGGTGCAGTCACGTGGCCATTTTATTGGCGAATCCACCAGTTCCTTGGGAGTCTGCCAGTTAATGACGCTTCACTTGCTGTTGAAAGCAACTGCGAAAGCCTCTCCGTTTCACAGGTTGGTATCTACCTTTTATGTGCCGATGGGTTACTTGGTGAGCCACGATGATTTCAAAAAGCATTGCACAAATGGACACCATCACACACATAAAATTGCAGTGTTTGCATTGCTTTACGTGCGTAAATGTGTATTTGTCTACTGCTTCGTCAGCATGTACATTCCCCTGAGCACTGGTGCAAGTTGCAACGAATGGTGTCTCTAATATGTGTCCAGCCTTTGTGACACTACTGTTAATATTTATGTAACTTTTCGCAGATCGTACGCAGTATGGAAACGGGGAGTGAATTGAGCGAGCTTGAGCCTCTTGGCAGTGAGGCCGAGATCCAGCTGGTGATAGAAATGCCAGAATCTTCAAGTGCCACCGTTGCCACAAGTACTGCCAATTTAGAGCAAACAGCAGCAACTGGACTGGCGGAGACAGCTGCACCTGCCGTGGAAAGCCTTCCGCAATGCAGTGAATCGTCACCAGCGGAAGCTGGAGCAACTGCGGCACAGCCAGCTGCATCAAAAAAAAGGACACGAGCTGGCCCCGATTCTGCAATCATGGAAATGGTTAAAGAACAAAAGATGTTCAGAGGAATGTGGCAAGAGTGCAAAGCACGAGAACTCGAGCTACAAATGGACAGCTGAAGCTTCAGAAGGAAGCAGCTAAAAGGGAAGAAAAGCTGATTGGTATTCTTCAAAAGTTCCTTGAATGACGGAGGCCTTAAAGAAATATTTATTCAATAAATACTAGTTTGCCTTTTGTAATTGTGCATTTCTTAAGAGATACAGTACGAGTATTAGGCAGCACTGATTCCCGTGCAGCCTAATGAAAGAGCCCTGCTACTATGTTTTAATAGTCTCCAAACTTCGGAATCGCAACTTACACATTACATCACTAAGTGAATGCAAAAAAAAAATCAAAATTGTTGTAGGCAAACGAGTTCTATCGAGCTTAAGAAACCAAATAAAAGCCGGTGACATAAATTCGCACAAGATTCCTTGCATGTCGCAATAACCTAGAGTCCTCCTACCGTGCTTTTATTGGTGCCTTCACACCTAGACTAATGCTGGTACCCTGACATTTGATAGCAAATACCGCTTTGCTGACTGCAGTTAAGTATGCACTTTTCCCACCGAGAAATGAAGATGTCCTGGTGCAGAAACTGAAGGCTTGGCATATTGAAACCAATGCGCTTATGTATGCTTCTAGAGAGTTCTCACTGGGCAACACTAAATTGAAATTGTAATGCACAAATTTGTGCATTTTTATACCTATAAACAGTATAAAACACGTTTAATAACTCTGAAAACATCACATAATTGTGCAACTCTTTATTAACTCAACTAATCAAACTTTCACTTCTTTATAAGAACTACGACAATGACTAAAAAAAGCCACAAAGTGCAGATTGACAAACGTTTGGCAAGTGAGGCAGAATAAACATACTAAATAAATATGTGTGCAGCAAGCAACCAAACACTGAGGTCATGCACGTGGACTAAATGTGCATCAAACGTGACTAAAAGACTGGAAACGGTTGTATACTAAATGAAAACAAAGGTTCGAGATAAACCATTAAAATATATACAAGGATTTCAAAAATGCACACTTCACTATAAAAGTAAGGACTACAATATAACAGAGAAATGAAATACAATGCACAGCCGCCTGCCAAAATGTGCAGGGGATATAGGTGTCACTTTAAAAAAGCCATTTGAATGGTAAAAGCTTATAGAGTTTGCTGCGTTACTTGTTTCTTTTGAAGCACAATAATGATAAATGACCTTGCCTTATAAAATACAAAATTATGAGCAAAAGAATTATGCTGGGTATACAAGTTGGTTGAACAGTATTTGGAGCAATTAAAAAAACACCCTCTGACAAAGGCCTAATCTCACACTTTCAATGCTTTTGTGAAGTAAAAAACATGTGCCATAAATAGCAAGCAATAAAAACATGGGGTGCTTGGTGATACTTTCAAATCAGTGAAGCAAGTACAGGTGAGTAATGTGCTTGCGGTTATTAAAAAAACACTTTTTTAACAGCTGACAAACAGATCAAGTGGTCTAAATTTCCGGAGCCCTTCACTACGGCATTCCTCACGATCATATGGTGGTTTTGGGGCATTAAACTCCAGGTATTATTTTCTACCAAACACAAACATACTACAGCTTTGACGCAGTGTATGAAGGCCGTAAATGGTGCATATATTCTTCAAAAACAGTTTCACTGCTGCAGGCACAAGATTACCTCAGCTACCTGAGACTGTGACTGACTGCTGAGTTCTAGCAAAGAAGTATTTCGCTAACGCTTTCCTTACGTCTTCACCGTTTTCGCTAGACGCGTCCGATGTACAAGTTGGCTGCTCGTAAGCAGCATTCCACAATGCTACTTCTTGTTCCCAATGTGGTTCTACTTGTTCTTGAAAACCTTCACAGATGTTATGAAGAACACAACATGCCTTAATAACCAGGGTAGTGGTGGCGAGCTTGCACTCCATGCGTTTCATAATGAAACGAAACCTGGCTTTCAAACGGCCAAATGCATTTTCTACAATCCTTCTGTTCTTTGACAGATTATAGTTGTACGCCCTTTCTTGTGTGTCAGGCTGTGCATTCGCATATGGTTTCTGCAGGTTTGGCGATAGAGCAAATGCCTGGTCACACAGCACTATTGGAGGCACACAAACTCCTTCGATTGTTGCTGTTGGGCGTTTGAAAGATCCGCTTTCAATAACTTTGCAGAGTACGGATCTTCCGTACACAAACGAGTCGTGGCACCGCCCTGGGGAGCCGACGTTTGTGTACCTGAAGCGGTACCGGTGGTCCACTAGAGCCAGCAAGATCATGCTATACCTGCAAATATAACAGCAATATTGCAGTCAGTACTGCTAATTATCCAGAAAACTTTCCAGTCACACACCAACATATTTCATTTGAAACACGTAGCATCGATTGTTAATAAACGAATGCACTAAACGTAAAGACAATTTAATGAACGATGAACAGGCCTTCCCAACTTACCAGCCTTTGTAATTGTAGTAGTCCGAAGCATATTTCTTTGGCGGTGACACTGGAAAGTGGCAGCCGTCGAGCGCTCCAACACCTTGTGGGAATCCTGTGACTGCAAAAAATTCCCTCATATGCTCCTCCATGTCGGTTGGCGAAGGCATCTTCACCCAGTCGTCCTCCAGGTTTTCCAGTACGGCCGTACAGAACTCTTTGTAGATCAAGTTCACAGTAGAGCGGCCAATCGCGAACAATTCGGCGATGGTGCGGTCTTCGGCAGCAGAGCACAAGCGGTAGAGTGAGACGGCTACTCTTTTTTCTACTGATATTGCCTCTCTCATTGTTGTGTCCACCCGCTGCATGTCGGTACGACACGACTCCACAATATAACGAAACGTGGCAGCCGAGACGCGAAAGCACCTTTTGAAGTATGCTTCCCCAAGATTTGGTAGCGTTTCTTCAAACCAGTGCTGACTACGACGGAAACACCATCGAGATCGAGGCGTTGTGCTCAGCAAAGACGCTGCAGCGATCAGGTTGAAATGGTTCGATATTAATTGGAGTTCAATGTCCTGAAGCTGGCGCATAACAACTCGTTTCTGCTCCAAAATTATTCGCTCTTGAGCACGATGCTTCGCACGGAAACACACAAGTGCTGCCGTGAAAAAACGAACTCTGCGAACATTTTCTTCTGAGAGATGCGACAGGTGCGATGCGACAGGCGCCATTTTCTATTTACGCTGTGGATCTGACTAGTGTTGGCTTAGGGTTGCTACGGTCGGCTGCGACGTTGTAAAACAAAGCAAGAAACTAAAACTTAGGACAGCGTAATACGCTTATTTTTACATTTGATGATTATCTGATGTGTATGAAGCTTGTAAATGCTTCTTAGTTTTTTTATCGCTATTCACTCAATGCTCACTTGGAAGGTGCTGTGATCGACATCATCAAGTCAAATGTCATTCGCTTTGGACGTGTAGCAGCGCCGGCGAAACAAATGTCATTCGGGAACTGAAGGCCTTCGCCACCAAATGCCATTTTCTCTGCCCGTGTGGCACGGGTATAAGTCAACTTGTTTGAAATTTTTACAAACCTTATGGGCCATTTTTCGTCTCGGCCAGATGACAACGGTTAAAATGCTAGCGGTCGTTATAAAATTTCTACGCTGAAAATGCACATTCATGTAGAATTTACCGTTCTTGAAGGTTAAACCAAATGCAGACAGCGTAAATATAGGCAGGTCATCGATTCTTGGCCAACATTTAATGGGCAACACATCCGGGCCAATCTATACGGGAGACCTTGTCCAGTCCACAAATGCGACGCGACAATGTGGACTGGAAGCACATGATGAATGGTCAAGTTTGATAACAGTACAACAGGGAAGCCGGTGCAAGGAACAGCGCAGCGAACCCCCGTCGTAGCAGATAATGCACTGAGAGTAGCGGAAGATCAGACTGCAGCGCTGCTAGTTCTTGCGACCGCCCTTCGGCCCATCCTCCTCCGCTGACGGAGATATGGAGCTTTGAAACTTAGTTTATTATAGTAACGTTGATGCTGGCTACTGTGCTGGATGTTTCACAGTACGTCAAGTTTGATTGCGAATGCAAGATGCTATTCTGCAAGATTCTTCGTCACGAGGTTCGAAGAGCCGATAAGTGAAATTACTCGCTGCCAAAACGCACGTCTGTGAAGTTTGAGACAAGTGCGGTGTGCTGTCATAATTTGATCATTGATATTCTGCTTGTATGTGCCAAACTAAACTATAATAATACTCTATGTGATTGTTGAGCTGTCCGACCAGAATGAGTGTGATTGCATCATTAAGCAATGTCAGCAGTGACCTCACGACGTGCAAGCAGTCGACGGCACTCTCCTGTAGTGAAGATCGAATCAATGGCAAAGGGGGCTAGAGCCATAAGGTGGATGCAGTCAATTGAACGCCTCAAAACGAGCTTTGAACATTTGCTTTTTTTATACTTGTTTCTCAATGGACGACCTAGCTAAAATGGGAAATTCAAAGACTGAGAAATGCCCTTTCTTATGAAGTCAATATGGTGGCTTCCAGTTGCATCATTGTGAAGCTTTTTTTTTATTAATATAATTTAGATTGGCCTCGAGGGTTTCCTGAAACCTTTTTTCTGTAATTTGATGCTTTAAAACATTACAAAAATATTCTAAAAATATTAGAAATTTATTGTCTTTGATTTGCACTCAGTCTTTACTATTTGAATTCACTTCGCACCCAAAAATTTTGCTATTTGCACAGCTCTACTGTTGATGGATTTCAAGAGATTTCTTGCTTTAGGTTGTTGTTCATGAAGAGTCAAAGACTCATAGTCAACAAACTTGAAGCCTGTGTCTTTCATGGCTTGTGCATCACATTAAATAATTGCCAGTGTGCCCAAACTCATGTTCAGTCGAAAAGTCACATTTTGATGAAGGCAAAAAGCTAGAGACTGGTATACTGGGCGATGCCAGTGCACATGAAAGAACACCAGATGGTCAAAATTTTTTAAGCCCTCCCCTACAACATCCTTCATTATGGTATAGTGGTTTTAGAGCGTTAAACTCCAGATAATATTATTCAGTTGAAGTGTGATGCTTTCCTCTGCAGGTGGACTTCCGAGGAAAGCTGTACCTGGCCCCTCTGACCACGGTAAGCAGGAACTCTTGATAAATCTCCTCTTGGTAGGATGCAGGAGTGCAACAGCTGCACGCATTGTGCCAATTCGTTACAATTCCCGATTGTTGCGCCGAGCAGCACCAAAACCGTGGAATTTTCTGAAACTTCACCACGCTGCGCCAGAATGCCCAGCTTGACTGAAAACATTTTCAAGTTCGCTGATTGCGGCGAGAAATGCAGGCCACGTCGGCCACCTGCTGTTTGTGCCTTTAGCCAAAGCATTAAGACTCTAACTATAGTGCCCAGAATATAGGTACCTAAAATATTAAAGGCACCCATCCTACACTCGAGACGCGATCGATCAGGTAAAGTAACAACACTGTGCGCTCATCGATCCCCTGACCACAGCGGATACCTGTCGGTGGGACGACGGAAATTAAACAAAAAATCGTTGCTGTAGGCACCAATGCTTCACGAGAAATGTAAATTTCCTAGCCTGAAAATACAGCTGTGGCTTGTTAGGAACTAAAGCTGGAAGCGTATGATGCATTTTCCTCAAGTGAACAAGCTTCTTGTGCCGCGAACGCCGGGATTGGCAGTGACTACGTTGACCCGTGACTAGTGACCACGGCATCAATCATCAAGGGGTCGGGTTCATCTTTGATCAGGTGATGGCCCAAAGAAGAAGATTGCATTCACCTAGAAGACACACTTTGCTTCATTTTAGATGACATTATTTTAAACCAAACCAGCAAGAACATCTGTGTCATCAAAAACAAGGATGTCGTGCATTAGGTCCTAGGGAGCCCTTCATTATTTCGGTCATGCACTTTTGCAAGTATTCTGGCACTAAAGTAATTCCAAAAGACAGCCTCTTTGAAACAATACTGTTCTAATGACATTTTAAACATGGTTAATTTCTCCAAGTTCTTTGCTATTTTAACCTGGAGAAAGCCTGAATTTGTGTATAGTTTTGAGAGCCTCTTGGTCCCTGCCAATAAGCCTAACGCTTGATCAACAGTCGGTAGAGCAAAGCTTTCTCTCCAAACAGGCTTGCTCGGCTGCATTAAGTCGACACACACCCTGGCTTCTCCAGAGAGTTTTACGACCGGCACGATACCGGTGCACTACTTGGTGGGGTCTTCGACTTTGCGAATGACTGCCATGTGCTACATTTTCCAAATTTCTTTTTGACCTGTTCTCTTAGTGGCCTCGATACCCTGTGTGGCATGCGAATAGCAAAACAGATGGCGCCCGGTTTCAGCCTTATGCAATATTCACCTGGCATTGTGCCTAGACTGCTGAAAGCTCATTATTAATAGGAAGGTCTCATAATTAGTCTGTTTGCTCACAGGCTCTGCAAACTAAAATGTACCTAATGATGCAAGAGCAGGCAAACTGAGCAGAATATTGTGCAAAGCACTAACAACATAGAACACCGAGCAAGAAGTTCTCTCTTTCATTTTTTACTACTTCGCAGAGTAGAGGGCGTGGGAAGAAAAAGCTCGACAGAGCATGACTAGACTTCCCAGCCTGTTACAGTCCTGCGTCACGCAGCCACAGTACACCTATTTTGTGGAATAAAATATACAAAAACCAAACAGAAACAAAATGAAAAAGATTTGTTACACACAAAGTCATTAGCATTTGAAACCAAAAAAAATTGGCCTGAATCTACATGTTACATAGTAAATGTCGTCGAAAGACGATAGTCTTGCGTCTGGAGAGAGTGAACAAAACGTTTATTTGATGTTCTGTACAAGAAAATTAGTGAATGGTATTCTGAAGACATTGCGTTAGAGTGCCTCGAGCGTGTAGCGGAGGCAAACAAGTGCATCTAGGCATGTTAGACACGAGCGCCATCTGGCAGTTATCTTCGAAAACGAAGGCGTGCGCGACCGCGGAGAAAGATGCACGCCATTCTCGGGGGTGATGAGGTGTAGAATGCAAAGCGACAGGCAGATGCCACCACCGTGTCTTCATAGTAAAGCATTGGAAACACCTTCTTGAGCATTGCGTTGCACTGTCAGCGCAGCGCGATAAACGCTACAGTCCTTAGAGTTACTTGTGTGTGCCTCTTCTAGTATAAAGGCAGGCATACAAAACATAGAGGTGTTGTTATGGCACCTAAGATATGTGCAATATTCGCTTTCTTAATTGACAATTGCAGAACTATGAACGCTAAACTTTGAGCAATTTTGGAGGGCGCTGCGGATGGGGTTTGCCGTTTGGTGTCGTTCGAGGTATCGTTAAGGCGTACAAACATACAAATGTACAGACACATAGACCAAAATTTTTTCGTCGAAGTCCCCAAGGAAGTCGTCTTTAATGAGCGCTTGGATGACTTCATGAAGGCCACTACACATTTGAAAGTCCAGATATAAGCTTCGTTCGAAAAATGCTAGATCCTCAGACCTACACCATACATGAGTGTCACCATTATTTCGTGCTAAAACATTTGAAGCGGAGGGCAAAGTCATTTTTAACATTTGGGCACCGTAATTCGTGAATGACGATTTGATCTTAAATTTTTCGATTAGCCTCAAAGGGTACATAAAAACCCATTCGGATAGTTCTGCTATTTCTTTAAGCATCGATATATTTAGTTTTATTTCATGTTTATATCCAAGATCTAGGCATAATTTATACAGACAAAATACTTTTGGAATAGCAGCAGTTTGTAAAAGCTGTACTGAAGGATAATCTCTGGCTAAAGCGTAAATGAGGCGTCAAGCTTTCTTTTATAGAATATAAACCTTTTATAAATTTGCGATCGTGGTAGTGCCCCATACAAGCTGACAATAATTAACCTGTGACATAAGCACAGGTTTGAAAAGCAACACTTTGATTTTGGTAGGAAGGACATGATTATTACGGTATAAAAGACCAATAAAGCACAAGGCAGCTAAGCATATGTGATAACATGAACATTCCACAGCAACTTTTCATTAAACCAAATGCCAAGAGTTTTGAAAGCTGGCACAATTTTATGTTTTCGGATCTATAGCTTAATGATTGAAAGCATGGCACAGTTTTACTGTTGGGATGAAAAATCATCGCTTTTGTTTTAGCCGCATTCAGTTGCAATTCATTTAGGTTTGACCACTGCTCGAAAATGCGAAGCATTTCGTTAGCATTCCTTAGCCATTCGTTTGCATCTTCACCGCTAAAGAAAACACTCATGTCATCAGCGTATATAACAAATGATGCCTTGGAGTGAATGTGAACAATATCATTAATGTATAAATTAAACAAAAATGGCCCTAGGATACTTCCCTGCGGGGCACCTGGTGTAAGGCACAGTGTTTGTGAGGCGTACCCATTGACATTAACGTACTGGCATGTATGAGACAAATAAGATTTGAGCAGTTGAAAAGCAAGCCCTCTAATCCCATAATTTTGAAGCTTAGCAAGAAGTATTTCATGGTTCATGCTGTCAAAACCTTTCTTGAACTCAACAAAAAGGGCTAATATTATTCTTTTTCCTCAAAATTTTTAGGAATAAAGTCTTTTTGGACGAGTAGTGCCGTTTCAGTGCTGGAATGGCAATATCAAGTTATGTCTTTTGATGAAACAGGAAAGCTGAGTTAAAATGACTTTTTCTAAGCCCTTCAAAAAGCAGGAAAAATAAAAATGTTGTAGGCCCGTGTGCTCAGATTTGGGTGCACGTTAAAGAACCCCAGGAGGTCAAAATGTCCAGAGCCCTCCACTACGGCATCTCTCCTATTCATATGGTGGTTTTGAGATGTTAAACCCCACATATCAGTCAAATCAATCAAAATAGAAAGGAGAGATACTGGTTTATAATTAGCACGCTTTTCTTATACCCTTTTTAAAAATAGAAATGAGCGTAGCAATTGGCAATTGGAGTAGAAATGTGGCTGTTGTAGTGCACAGGTTAAAAATATAGACCAGCAGAGGTGCAATCAAGTCAATAACATGTTTAACCAGCAGAATATGTAAGCCATCAGCATCCAAGAAAGTACTGTTTTTTAGACTACAAAACGTTGAGATGACTTCCAGGTTATCGACAGTAGAAAGATAAACACACTTCCAAGGTTACTCGATGAAACAAATTGTAACGCCTCGAGACTACCAGCAGACTGCAACTGAACAAGGAAAGACTTGTTGAACAGCCCCGTCCACAGTCATTTTATCAGGTGTTTCATCTGCAGGATTGAGAAGATAGCTGCCTCCAGAGAACATCACTACGACTTTTACTATGTTGCAAAGTATCAGCATAGTATTGAGTCATAGCCGTTATGATGTCGTTGTTTAGTTTATTTTTATACGCTTTATATCACGCTAAAGTTAATAAGTTCAGGTCTCAACAAAACTTTTATAAGTTCATCCTTAACGTTAATGCGATAAAGCAAGGAAGGGCTGATCCACAGCTTTCTAATCTTTCTGCGCCATGAAAGATTTTTTCTCGGGAAGTGCTCAGAATTTAACGTTTAAAATGACGTATGAATGCTTCATATACAGTACCTAGTTCAGTTGCGCGATATACATCATTTCATGACGCGTTTCTTATTCCAGCATGAGATGTTTCAAGAATATTGCCACGTTCCATTTCCCAAGCTTTTGTTATCGTCCCAAAACACCACACGATTCTCAGCGCAAACCGCGCCTGCAGTTTTCGAGAGGGTTCCGGACTGTAGTAGATCATTTCGATAAGATCACGCCCACTGTGCGAATGGTACAGATTGTTCTGGAACGTACGCCGCCGCCAGCGGTAGCGCTAGAACATTCGACGGCGGGAGTATAAATGCCGACGCGCTTCGCCGCTTGTCAGTTGTTGATCGAAGGCCGACGCTCCGTTCGCCGCTATCAGTCCGAGACTGCTATCTGTGCGAGACTGCTGCTGTAATTGGACTTTCCGTTTACTGGGCACAGGTTCGCCCAAATAAACAGTTAAAATCCCAACACGAAGTCTCCTGTCTTCGGCCACGTCACGACCCCGTGACATCTGGTGGAGGTGCTGGGTACGTTCATGTACCGGACGCCCCCGTCAAGCCGTGAACCCAGCCCAC